TCTGCTGTAAAAAACAAATGCTCTGGTAGTTTCTCAAAGATTAAGCATAGGCCTGGGGCTGTAACTCAGCACTTGCCTCACATATGTGAGGCACTGAGTTTGATCCTCAGCACCACATAAAAATAAACAAATAAAAAGATATTGTGTCCATTTACAACTAAAAAATATTTTTAAAAGATTAAGCATAAAGTTACCATATAATACTGGAATTCTACTCAAGAATATACCTAAGAGAAATGAAAACATGTACTCATGTACAAACTTATGTACATATGTTCATAGCAATATTATTCACAATAGCCAAAAAATGAAAAGCATATAAATTCACTAACCATTGAAAGATAAATAAAAAGTGATATATCCATACAAAGGAATGTTATTATCAACATTTTATTTGGAAATAGAAAGATATGAATCTAGAAAACACTACACATGAACCTAGAAAACACTATAAGAATACATATTGTATCATTCCATTCATATGAAATATCCAAAATAAGCAAAGCTGTACTGACAGAAAGTACATTAGTGGTTGTTGAGGACTGGAGATTGGAGGAAAATGGGGAGTGACTATTTTTTTAAATATTTATTTCATAGTTTTCAGTGGACACAACATCTTTATTTTATTTTTATGTGGTGCTGAGGATCGAACCCTGCGCCCCGTGCATGCCAGGCAAGCGCCCTACCGCTTGAGCCACATCCCCAGCCCGGGAGTGACTATTAATAGGAATGCAATTTCTTTAGGGGATGATGGGAATATTATAAAACTGATTGTTTAGATGGTTGCATGATTTCGTAAATATACTACAAACCATTTAATTGTATATTCTCAATGTGTGTAAGGCATTTAATGGCCCTCAAAGATATCAGGTCCTAATTCATGAATTTATAAATGTTATCTTATATTGGAAAAGAGCTTTTGTAGATGTGATTAAATTAAGGGTTTTGAGATTGGAGATTATCCTGAATTATCCAGGTGGGCCCTAAATGTGATCACATATATCCTTAGAAAAAGGAGATTTCTCAGAAAGAAGAGGAGGAGGCAACCTGGCTACAGAGACAGAGATTGGTGATGCTGTCACAAATAATGGAATATCATCTGCTATCAGAAGCAGGAAGGGAGACGGAACAAATTATCAGAGGAAGAGCAGCCCTTCCAACATCTCAATTTTGACCCAAATGATCCTGATCTTGGACTTCTTTCTCAGAAATATGTTCAGAAATATGAGAGAATATATTTTTGTTGTTTTAAGCCACTAAATTTGTGCTAATTTGTTACAACAGCCATAAAAAATACAGTATGTGACTTTTATTTCAATAAAGCTGTTCCCAAAAGTTTTAATATCTCCATAATTATTATACAGTTTTTGTTTATTTAATTTTACATTTTTAATACAATTTTCTTTTGTATTTTCTGTTACAATGTGCAATAAGTTCATAAAGTTTAAGAGAGTTCTATTTTCTCTACTATCCTGCAATTTTAAATTTTGTAACTTTTTTTGGTACTGGAGGTTGAACCCAGGGGTGCTCTACCAATGAGTTATATCCCCACCTTTTTTTAAAGAGAAAGAGTCTCACTAAATTGCTCAGGCTGGGCTCAAACTTGTGATCTTCCTGCTTTAGCCTCCTGAGTCATTGGATATATAGACATGTGTCACTTTGCCCAGTTAAACATAACATTCTAACATTTAAAAATATAAAAAATGGTGTTGGTCCCATTAAATTATTTTAAATCTTCAAACTTACTCAATTTTTTTGGTTTGCTTATTTTGTTTATTTGCTATTCATTTAAATGAATAGCAAATAAATTAACTTTTTGTTACTTAATATTAGTCATTTTGCTTATAAAGTATATGTAGTTTTCCACCTCCCCAGTTATCAAAAACCACTAATCATCAGATGGACCATTGATTTAAAGTCAGATTTTGGGAGTTTGAGAAGAGGGGAAAAAATACTATTTCATCAAACACACACATTGAGCTATAAAATGTATCTTGATTTTAGAAATACTGAAGGAAAACACTCATCTTAGAATTGGAGAAATACTATAGCTTGGATTTCTTTTTTTTCTTTCTTTCTTTCTTTCTTTTTTTTTTTTTTTGTTACTAGCCCTTTTGATTTTTTATTTTGAGTCAGGGTCTTACTAAGTTGCCCAGGCTGGTCTGGAACTTGTGATCTTCCTGCCTCAAGTCTCTGGGATTATAGGTAAGCATCACTGCAGCTGGCTGGACTTGGTTTTAGAAGTCTCCAATCACATAGAAGAGTGGAAGAGGTTACATTTTAACATGCTATTGCTAAAAAAGTTCAAGATCATGTTTTAAAGAATATTAACATAGATAAATGATCAAGAGATGAAGTTAAGTGAAAAAGTAGAACACAGAATTGTATATCAGGCATGACTGAAACTGTATTAGAAAAAAAATTAAACTAAAATCTCATATGTTTCACTATGAATATAATAGACACTATGTGGCACAAGGGTCATTTGGAGTCAGTTCAGTCACTTATATCACATGTGAACTTGAGGAAATTGTTCCATCTTCCTGCCATATTTGCAAAATGAGGATAATAATTTTCGTAAGAATTACTTAAGAAAGTACATGTAATATCCTTAGTACAGTGTGTGGCACATAAAAAACATGATTAAAAAAATCTGAACCATTGTTATTATCCAAAGAAAAATATCCCAGTGTTAACAGTGACTATTAGTAGAATCATGGATTTAAMTTTTTTTCTTCTTTATACTTTCCACCTTTAATTTTCTATAATGAGCCTATATTACTTTCTTATTGGGATATAATTCATATATGATAAAATTCATATATTACTCTTATAATTAAAAAAATAGAAAAATTTTCTAAATTGTTCTCTTGTAGGAAAACTAATAAAAGATAATTAGGAAAGTAGCACCAAGAATCACTGTTTTGAAAAGTAATTTAAGCTATGGGATAAAATGATAAAGCCTCAACTATTCCTGAATTATTTTAATACTATTGTTCTACATATTTTTGTTTTGAGTCATTTATCTCAATTTTAATTCTGGGATTTCAACTTAAGGAGGTGACTGAATGTTGATGTGGAGAGGAATGAAATCATTAAAAGAAGATTTTTATTACTTACAGTTTCCAAGAGAAGGCATCATGTCATGCCATACAATAACAGAGGGAAAGCATCAGGTTTTGTTTAGGAGGCAAAAACAGAAAGAAGCAAAGGGAAAGCCTAAATAAGAGTCTTTATGGGGGTTTCTACAGGACATATAAGGCAAAGCAGGGAAAATAGTTTGGAAATTACTAGTTTGAATAATTCTGGCAATCTTTACAGCATAGGAGCCATTCACTAGCTCTTTGGGTTGATTTAGCCCAGGTAACAGCCAATCAGCAGATAGCTCCTGGTAGCTGACTTGGCGTGTGAAAATTAGTAAAGATGTGGCTCTGTGCTGGAGGTGTAGGTCAGTTAAAGTGCTTGCCTAGCATGCACAGGGCCCTGGATTCAATCTCCAGCCCCATCACCACCTTGTCCCATGAACCAAAAAAAGAAAAGAAAAAAAAAGAGAGAGAAGAAGAAGTTGGTTCATAGTATGGATTCTACATCACAGTTGAGATATAAGTAACTGGTTATTAGTTTGAACCTGTGACTAATGAATGGCAAAGAGAGAACCTAAGAAAACACAATGAGAATACAACTGAGATAAAAATTTGCCAAATTCTGATTCATACAAAAATGAAGGATTCCAGAAATCCTTCATACAGAACTTTGAAACTGTTTAAGGTGCTTAGTCTTCACCTTCAATGGAGCAAGGGTGAATGGAAAAAGAAAAAGAAAGTTATCTTGACTTTGAGACTAATGTCATTAGAGGAGAAAAACAAGGGGAAATAGGAAAACATGAAAAATATATAAACACAGACTATAAAAGACTCAGAATTTTGGTATCATTAAATTGCTTCTTTCACTTATTGCATGAAAATAGAATCCTACTTTCTCAGATATAATATTAAGTAAACTTTGAAACCAAATAATCTAAATACAAATTTCCCAATTTGATTGATTGTGAGACCATGTGCAAGTTATTTAACCTTTCTAAACCTCAATGTTTTCATCAATAACAGTAGAAGATTACAAAAGAGAGAGAGAGAGAGAGAGAGAGAGAGAGAGAGAGAGAGAGAGAGCGCAGATGTAAGAGTTGCTGAGCAGATTCCTCAAGTTCATGTATGAAAAATTTAGAACAGTGTCTGGCCCATGAAAATGCTTTGTAAGTTTTAGATCTGATTATTATTTGTATAACTAGATATTGAATATAAGATGCAGGTTTTTCTTGATCTTACCAGAAGGTGTCAGTGAAAGTTTTTCACATTTTCATATCATGAGTGCCACTGAAATAAATTATGACTTTGCTTTAAGATGTAGCCTAATTGCAGAGAGTTAATTTTTTTGTAGTACTAGGGATTGAACTCAAGGTCGTTCTACCACTGAGCTACATCCACAGACCTTTTAATCTTTTGAGATAGAGTCTCAACAAGTTGCAGAGGCTGGCCTTGAACCTATCATCCTTTTGCTCAGCCTCCCAAGTTTCTGGGATTACAGACATGCACCATTGTGCCTGGCTAGAGGGGTTAAAATATCTTAAAGTGCATCCCTTAAAAACTGATCAAGAGGGATGGGGTTGTGGCTCAGTGGTAGAGTGCTCGCCTAGCATGCATGAAGCATTGGGTTTGATCTTCAGCACCACATAAATGTAAAATAAAGATATTTTGTCCACCTAAAACTTAAAAAAATAAATATTAAAAAAATCTGATCAAGGGCTGGGGATATATCTCAGTTGGTAGAGTGCTTGCCTCATATGCACAAGGCCCTGGGTTTAATCCCCAGCACCACACACACACACACAAAAAAATAAGTTTCTATGATCTTATTTCATTCTAAGTTAATGTATATGTGACATCTACCAAAAGATAGTTGAAACTAATAGAATGATTCAAACATTAAATAATATAACTTCTTACTTCTGAAAATTCCGTTTTGTTCAATCCTGATTCTACGGAGTCAGTAAAATCCAATTGTTTGCAATGTGATTCTAATTTGGGGATAAAAATGTTTGCTAGTTAGTTTGGTTATAGTTTGGTTATAATATAGTCATATTTTGTATTTATAGTCTAGTACTTAAAAGAATGTAAAATTATTTCTTAACTAATATCTATCCATAAAGTAAATGATATATAGTTGGGTAGCTTTCCAATTACTACAGAATTATTATTTTTCCTGGCTTTTTTTTTTTAACCCAGCAACCCAAATAGTAAAGAGAATAAAGCTAAATTTTTAATAACTGGGTTGAGATAAAGCAGAAACACATATGCACAATCATATAAAAGACTATAAAAACATTTGTATTAATTTATGCTAGCATTTATGCTAGGAGAATCTAAATCAAAACACCTCTGTAAACTTCCATTTAAAAATCTTTTTTGGCCTTAATGTTTCTTAAATTAACTAGTAATATTTATTATATGGTTAGTAAAACATTCAAATAATACAAAAATATGAGCAGCAAAATGTGAATATCCTCTTTTCCCTCTAGTCCCCCATCTGCACACTCATTCCTCTCTGTCCCAGAAGTAATCACTGTCACCAGCTTGTCACCATCCTTTCAGCAACCCTTCCTATGCATTTCCATATGTGTATGTGTACACGGACATATATATTTTTTCTCTAAATGAATATGATAATTTTGATCTGAAACTTGCTTTTTCACTTACCACTCATTGTAGATCTTTTCATAAGTAGCTGGAGCTCAGGGGTAAAGTTTGAAATAGAATATGGATTGGGAGTCATCATTGCAGTTAAAGATTTGAATAAGAAAACAAAGGGAGTGGGTAGTATATAAAGTGAGTCAAAAGGGAAACTCTGGAAAACAACATTTAAGGTTTAAGCAAAATAAGAACCAAGAGGAAAAATGCAAGAGGTGATCAAAGATAGAAGAAAAACATAAAGAGAAAATGATATCACAAAAGCTAAGCAAAAAGTTTTATGAGTAACAGAGTGGTCAACAATAGTGAATTTGGCAGTTAGTTCAAGTAAACGTTTTTAAACTTCCATTTGATATGTCACTTATGTAATCCTTATTGATCTTACCAAGAGAGGAAAATAATTCTATGAAAGCTCATGATGAATGAACCAACAAACTGGCTTCTTCTCCTACTTCTAACAGTAACTCTTCCTGTCTTTCCTGGACTGGCACAAGGGCACAGGAAAGATTTTTCAGTTATTCTTGGATTTTGTGACTGTTATTTGTATCAGTTATTGTGGCCAAGAAGACTCATTATAAGCTTATGCATTAAATGCCAATATCCCTATTTCAGACCTTTTTTTAAGCTCCAGAAAATTATGCAAACTAGACTGGCTTCTACCAGTAATAGCTGCTATGAATGTTCACACATATCCTCTGATTGGACTTTGAGTAACTTAAGGAAAAGAAGTATGTCTTTGCTTTCTTTGTCCCCTCACAATATCTGGAACTAAGGAAGGATTTGATAAATATTGAATGAATGGATGGATGATATAGAAAATAAATACTATAAAAAAGGAGTAGGGGCTGGGATTGTGACTCAGCGGTAGAGCGCTCACCTAGCACATGAGAGGCCCTGGGTTCGACCCTCAGCGCCACTAAAAATAAAATAAAGATATTGTATCCAACTACAACTAAAAAATAAATATTAAAAAAAGAAAGGAGTAAAGAGGAGAAATAATTACTATCAACTGGAGTAGCTTAGAATTTCTCTAATGTTCATCAGGATCCCAATAGTGTTGTCTTTACTCACTCCTTCTGTACCCCCATCCAAAATAAATAAACACAGGAAGTTGTTTCAAGAATTTCTGAAATAAGAGTGGAGGTTGAGCTCACAGGAGAATTACAGTTTTGGGATAGGCTGAGAACAGGGAAGAGAAAAAAGGTTGTCACTGACACAAGGTCCAAATCACATTTGAGGACCAGTGATCAAGAGGAGGAGAAGCATATTTCATTTTAAAACAGTGAGAACAGACTTCAAACATTGTCACTATCTATTGTTATCATTGTAATAAGTAGTTAAAAATAAATTGAAGTTGAAAAAAAATCAGCTGGATCTAAATTATGTAAATCTCAGGACTCAAAGTCTAGTTCTTTATGTAACAAAGTCAAATTTGTGTGTGTATATGTGTGTGTGTGTGTGTGTGGGTGTGTGTGTGTGTGTGTGTGTGTGTGTGTGTGTGTGTGTGTGCCTAGTTTCACATAAAGAAATCTTTCCAAAAACAAATGCATCAAATCTATGGTTCTCCATAGGGGTGGTACTGTCCCACTCTCCCAGCACTATGCATGGTGGGAATTTGTGGGAGAGTTTTTGTAATTACAATAATGGAGAGTAGGTGTAGAGGCAGAACCCCTGCAATTTCTGCAAAATTAAGGCTTTCCCCTTCCTGTCAGACATTCAAGTAAGTGAAAAATCTGCTTATAGCAATTTTGAATCTAGAACTCAATTCTATTATATATATAAACACAGAGTAGAATTTTGCTGTCGTCTTTGTTTTTTGGTGCTGGGGATTAAACTGAGGGCCTCATTCATGCTATGCACAAGCTTTACCACTGAGCTACACCCCCAGCCCCTAATTTTGCTGTTTAATTTTCCAAGAATGTAACTACTGTGAAAATTTGAGGGAGGTTTAAATGTAAAATTCATCTTGGAACTTAACTAGGAGTTGTTCACCATTTCAGAGAATTGTGTTATAGGAGCTAACATATAAATTATGTCTGAACTCTAATACAACACATCTATGTCAGTCTGAATTTGTAGCTCTCCCTGTCATGGGATATTCTCTCTCTCTCTCTCTCTCTCTCTCTCTCTCTCTCTCTCTCTCTCTCTCTCACACACACACACACACACACACACACACACACACACACACAATTGGATATAATTTTACTTTCCACATATCTAAACACTCATGATAAGTAGGTCTAACTATTGTATTATGTCTTCTAGTGAAGTTGTAACCAAACATTTATATATTGAAATCACAAATATGATATTGTATGTTCCTTTTTAAATTCTCTAAGTATGGCATAGGTTAATAAGGAGATGCAATACAGGGCTGAGATTGTAACTCAGTGATAGAGCACTAGGTTCGATTCTCAGCACCACATATAAGTAAATAAATTCAATAAAGGTCCATCAACGACTAAAAAAAATTTAAAAAGGTGCAATACAGTGGGACATTGGACTAAAAGAATTGAGAATGATTGATAACTTTTCTATATTGTCTGGATAGAACAGAAGAACATAATTCATCTATAAAAAGTGCTTTCAATAACATCAGTTTTAATATCAATGCTTCATCTGAATTCAGTGCCCTCCCTGCAAAAAGAGAAAAATAAAAATACCATAGTAGTAGGCATACTTACCAAGCTTGAATTCTGGCTTTTGGAAAAATTCATGAAGAACATTTTGAATCTGCAAATCAGGAAAAAAAAAAAAAAGGAAGGTAGGAAGGAAGAAAAAAAAAGGAGACAAAAAAAAAAAGGTAAGGAAAGGAACCAAGTATTAATCCTCAATTATCACACATATAGTATTTTAGACTAAAAGTCATCTATAGTCTTTCTGTCTTAAGTGTTCTGTAATCTTTCTAACCCAAGGACAGAAATAGCAACAATTCACGTTTAGTTTAGAGAATATGTCAAGGTATATGAAGTGCTTTTATATGCACATCTTCAGTGATTCCCAACTTTTTGTGAAAGAACTGGGATGCTGAGAGTGATACTGTTTTGCCCCCATCCTGGATAACATTTCTAGCTAATGCTCTAACACTGGGCATTGTATTCCATGACTAAACACTCAAAGTCACTCCAGGTGAACTGGGCTGCACGAAATAACCACACAGAAACAGAGAAATACTTTTTTCTTTGGGTCCTGTGATGGCTCCTCCGACCTTAGGGGTCCGTGGAAAGAGAGAGGAGCATGTGCTGAACCCTTTTATTGGGAAGAAGCCATTCAAATGAGGCAAGGAATAGGATTACAAGGGAACAGGGGAGTGTAGCTCAACCTCTCTGGGTGCCGCCTACTCCTAGGGCCACTCCCAGGGGCACACCTTATTACTTGATGGAGAGAAAAGCACGAGTCACCAGTGCACTACTGGCACTAAGGTGCCAGACTGTACTGATCTTTCAGATCCCCATGATGCATCAGAACTTAAAGGTGCCTGCATTTGGACTGGCTCCCCACAGAGCATGGTGGAGCTAAGACACATTTAGCAACCAGTTTGACCATCCTAAGAATCCTCTATTCTTCCTTATTCTTTGATTATTGAAAATAAAATTTCAGAGTTCTTGTAAGTCCATTTTTTTTTTGAACTGGGGATTGAGCTTAGAGGCACTAGACCACTGAGCCACAACCCCAGCCCTATTTTGTATTTTTACTTAGAGACAGGGTCTCACTGAGTTGCTGAGTGCCTCACTTTTTACTGAGGCTGGCTTTGAACTCTCGATCCTCCTGCCTCAGTCTCCCAAGCTGCTGAGATTACAGGTGTGCACCGCTTCACCTGACTCTTGTTGGTTCATTTTTAAAAATATATTTCATTTTCTTTAGAGACGTTTTAGGTTTGCAGCAAAATTGAGAGGACAGTACAGAGAGTTCCCATATGCTCCCTACCCCACCCCCACAACAGCCTTTTCCACTGTCAACATCCTGCACTAGGATAGTACATTTGTTACAGTTGATGAACCTACATTAATGCTTTATCATCACTCAAAGACCCTAGTTTATATTAGGAGTCACTCTTGGTGTTCTACATTCTATGGGTTTTGACAAATGTATGACAAGTATCCACTATAATAGTACAGTTTCACTATCCTAAAAATCCTCTGTATTCCACCTATTTATCCTTCCTGCCCGCTCTGACTCCTGGCAACCACTAACCTTTTTACTGTCTTCATGATTTTTTCCTTTTCTAGAACATCATGTAGTTACGATCATCCCATAAGTAGCCTTTTCAGATTGGCTTCTTCCACTTAATGTGATGCACTTAAGTTTCTCCATGTCTGATTGTTTGTTTGTTTCAGTACTGGGTATTAAACCCAGGACCTTGGAAACGCTAGGCAAGTGCTCTACCATGAACTACACTCCCAGTCCTTCTGTTTTTTTATTTTGAGACAGGATTTCGCTAAGTTGACCAGGCTGGCCTCAAACTTGTAATCCTCCTGCCTCAGACTTCCAAGTCACTGGAATTACAGACATATGCCACTATGCCTGACCCACATCTCCAGAACTTTTCATTTTGCAAACCTGAAACTCTGTACTCACTAAATAAAAACACTTCCCTTCACCTTTTCCCAGGCTTTGGCAATTATCTTTCTACTTCCTATTTTCTGAATTTAACTACTTCAAATATCTAATGTAAGTGAAATAATTTAGTATTTGTCTTTTAAGAATATGTTTAGTTTTATAGAAGACTGACAAACTGTCTTTCAGAGTGGCTGTACTATTTTGCATTCCCACCAACAATGAATGACAGTTCTTGCTACTCTACATTCTAGCCAGCGTGACAGCAGTGTTTTGTGTTTTGAATTTTGGCCATTCTAACAGGTGTATACTAGTATCTCACTGCTGTTTTATTCTGAAATTTATTAATGACATATGATATTGGGCACTGTCTCATAGGTTTATTGACATCTGCATTTTTTTTTTTGAAGTATCTATTCAGTGAAGTATCTATTTAGGACTTTTGCCCATATTTTAACAGGGCTATTTGTTTTTGTATTTTTCAGTTTTAATAATTCTTTGTACGTGTGTGGGATAATGCTCTTTTATCAGCAATGTTTTTTTTTGCTAATATTTCTTGTCGGTGTGTGGCTTGTCTTCCTTGGTCCATTTTCGATCATGCACCTTAAATTGAAATATACTTGGCATTGGATTTAACAATTTAAACATTTTCAAATCTATCCACATCTAAAAGAAAATAATTATTAGAGTATAGTTATTCTCTAAAATTAAGAGACAAAAGCAGTCACATACACAACAAATAAAATCTCCATTTGTAATGATTAGTTTGTAAACCATTTATAGTGATTAGTTTGTAAACCATTGCCAGAATCATGATTTTAGGAATCCAGCTAGATTTTTTTAAATGTTTATGAGAAAATTACAGGAATCAGTTCTCATTGACCAGATAGGTCAAGATTAATTTACTTCAGCAGTACTGAAATATTGAAGGGAGGTTTCTGGCATTCCACTCAGTATTCTAGCAAGTACCCTCTTACCACTCACCCCCAAACCCATTACATATACCCTGCTGTCTTACCACTATGGTAGGAATCATTCCTCTAGGGTCTAGAATCCATTCATCAAATTGTTCCTGCAGAGCCTGTTTCCGCACGCTGGCCACCTTGACTTTGATTGTGTTTATGTGGACTCTTTGTTCTCTTTTCTGTGTAACATTCTCCTTCATCTTAGATACTCTGAAGGATGTAGAGACAGAAAACATTAAGACTTTTGGACTTAGTTCAGATTGTTCAAATAACTGAAAACAAGAATCCAGAGTTCCATCTAAACTTTGTACCTGTCTTTTCTCCCTGAAATCTTTCTTGATGTAAGCAGGCAAGTGAGCCCTTCTTCCTCAGCACTTTTGCCACATTTGGCAAAAGATCTGAAATTAGTTTGTCAAAAAGACATCTGCACTATATGTTTACTACTCACACTAGCCAAGTTATGGAATCAACCTCAGTGTCCAACAACAGATGAATGAATAAAGAAAAAGTGATACATGAGCACAACAGAATATTATATAGCCTCTAAAATAAAGAAAAGTCTGCCCTTTGTGACAACATAAATAAAATTGGAGAGTTATGCTAAGTGAAATAAGCCAAGCAGAGAAAACAAACACATCATGTTCTCACTTATACATGGAATATAAAACAACAGAACTCAAAGAAGCAGAGGTTAAGGGCATATAGGGTGAGTGAGGAGAGATAATGGTCAAAGGATGCAAAATTTCAGATAGGAGGAACAAGTTTTCTAAAGAGCCATTGCATACCAATACAAAGGAAAGTTCATTGAATGGAGTTCATTCCTTAAAAGAAGAAAAAGTCAATAAATAAATGACTTAACACTACATCTCAAAGCCCTAGAAAAAGAAGAACAAATCAACACTAAAAGCAGCAGAAGACAGGAAGTAATTAAAATCAGAGCTAAAATCAATGAAATTGAAACAAAAGAAACAATTGAAAACATTGACAGAACAAAAAGTTGGTTCTTTGGAAAAAAGAAATAAAATTGATAGACCTTAGCCATGCTAAAAAGAGAAGAAGAGAGAAAACTCAAATTACTAACATATGTGATGAAAAAGGAAATATCACAACAGACACTACAGAAATACAGAAGATAATTAGAAATTATTTTGAAAACCTATACTCCAATAAAATAGAAAATATTGAAAGCATCGACAAATTTCTAGAGTCATATAATTCGCTCAAATTGAACCAGGATGATACACACAATGTAAACAAGTGACGAGATAGTAGACACCATCAAAAGTCTACCAACCAAGAAAATCCCAGGACCAGACAGATACATAGCCGAGTTCTACAGGACCTTCAAAGAAGAATAATACCAATACTCTCCAATTTATTTCAGGAAATAGAAAAAGAGAAGGAACTTCCAAACTCATTATATGAGGTCAATATCACTCTGATTTCAAAACCAGGCAAAGACACGTCAAAGAAAGAAAACTTCAGACCAATATCTCTAATGAACATAGATGCAAAAATTCTCAATAAAATTCTGGATCTAATACAAAAACATATCAAAAAGATCATGCACCATGATCAAGTGGGATTCATCCCAGGGATGCAAGGTTGGTTCAACATATGGAAATCAATAAATTACAATAAATGTAATTCATCACATCAATAGGCTTAAAGATAAAAATCCTATGATCAACTCAATAGATGGCAGAAAAATCATTTGACAAAATACAGCACCCCTTTATGTTCAAAACACTAGAAAAACTAGGGATAACAGGAACATATCTCAACATTGTAAAGCCTATCTATGCTAAGCCCCAGGCCAACACCATTTTAACTGGAGAAAAATTGAATGCATTCCCTCTAAAAACTGGAACAATACAGGGATGCCCTCTTTCACCACTTCTATTTAACACAGTTCTTGAAACACTGGCCAGAGCAATTAGACGAAAGAAATTAAAGGGATACACATAGGAAAAGAAGAACTCAAATTGGCACTTTTTTGCTGATGATATGATTCTATACCTGGAAGACCCTACAAGTTCCAACAGAAAACATCTAGAATAGTAAATAAATTCAGCAAAGTAGCAGGATATCAAATCAACACCCATAAGTCAAAGGCATTTCTGTATATCAGTGACAAATCTTAAGAAAGGGAAACTAGGAAAACCATCCCATTCTCAATAGCCTCAAAAACAAAAACAAAAAAACCTTGAGAATCAATTTAACAAAAGAGATGAAAGATCTATAAAATGAAACTTAGAACCCTAAAGAAAGAAATCAAAGAAGACCTTAGAAGAAGGAAAGGTCTATTTTGCTCTTGGATAGGCAGAATTAATATTATCAAAATGACCATACTTCCAAAAGCATTATACAGATTTAATGAAATTCTGATCAAACTTCCAATGACAAACCTCATAGACATAGAAAAAGCAATCATGAAATTCATCTGGAAAAATAAGAGACCTAGAATAGCTAAAGCAATCCTTAGCAGGAAGAGTGAAGCAGGTGGTATCACTATATTAGACCTTAAACTATACTACAGAGCAATGGTAACAAAAACAGCATGATATTGGCATCAAAACAACTGGTAGACCAATGGTACAGAACAGAGGGCACAGAGTCTAACCCACAAAATTATAGTTATCTTATATTAGACAAAGGGTGCCTAGAATATGGATTGGAGAAAAGATAGCCTCTTTAACAAATGGAGCTGGAAAAACTGGAAATCCATATGCAACAAAATGAGATTAAATCCCTATTTCTCACCGTGCACAAAACTCAACTCAAAATGGATCAAGAACTTAGGAATACAACCAGAGAACCTGCATCTAATAGAAGAAAAAGTAGGCCCTAATCTTCATAATGTGTGATTAGGCCCCAACTTCCTTAATAAGACTCCTGTGGTGCAATAATTAAAATCAAGAATCAATAAATGGAATGGACTCAACTAAAAAGTTTCTTCTCAGCAAAAGAAACAATCTGTGAGGTGAATAGAGAGTCTACATCTTGGGAGCAAATCTTTACCCCTCACACATCAGATAGAGCACTAATACTAATATAAAGAACTCAAAAAACTAAACACCAAAAAAATAAACAACCCAATCAATAAATGGGCCAACACCTGAACAGACACTTCTCAGAAGATGATGCACAATCAATCAACAAATATATGAAAAAATGTTCATCAACACTAGCAATTAGAGAAATGCAAATCAAATCTAAGATTTCATTTCACTCTAGTCAGAATGGCAGATATTTGAAGACAAACAACAATAAGTGTTGGCGAGGATGTGGGGGAAAAGGTACACTCATACACTGCTGGTGGGACTGCAAATGGATGCAGCCAATATGGAAAGCAGTATGGAGATTTCTTGGAAAATTGGGAATGAAACCACCATTTGACCCAGCTATCCCTCTCCTCAGTTTATACCCAAAGGACTTAAAAACAGCATACTACAGGAACACAGCCACATCAATGTTTATAGCAGCACAATTCACAACAGCTAAACTGTGGAACCAACCAGATGCCCTTCAATAGATGAATAGATAAAAAAAATATGTGGCATATATACACAATAAAATATAACTCAACGATAAAAGAGAATAAAATCATGGCATTTGCAGGTAAATGGGTGGAGTTAGAGAAGATAATGCTAAGTGAAGTTAGCCAATCCCAAATAACCAAATGCCAAATGTTTTCTTTGCTATAAGGAAGCTGATTCATAGTGGGATAGGGAGTGGGAGCATGGGAGGAATAGACGAACTCTAGGTAGGTCAGAGGGGTTGGAGGGGAAGGGAGGGGGTATGGGGTTATTAATGATGGTGGAATGTGATGATCATTATTAGCCAAAGAAAGGTATGAAGACACAAATTGGTGTGAATATACTATGTATGCAACCAGAGATATGAAAAATTGTGCTCTATATGTGTAATAAGAATTGTAATGCATTCTGCTGTCATGTATAAATAAAAAAAGAGCCATTGCATGCCAATACATTCAATAATAATAATAATAATAATAATAATAATAATAAATTGTACATTTCAAACTTTCTAAGACTATAGGTTTCAAATATTCTCATCCCCCCCCCCAAAAAAAAAAAACAGAAACTAGTTAAGCCGAGCGTGGTGGCACATGCCTGTAATCCATTCCAGCAGCTCAGGAAATTGAGGCAGGAGGATTGTGAGTTCAAAGCCAGCCTCAGCAGCAGTGAGGTGGTAAGCAACTCAGTGAGACCCTGTCTCTAAATAAAATACAAAAAAAAGCTGGAGATGTGGCTCAGTATTCGAGTGCCCCTGAGTTCAATTCCTGGTACCTTGGCCCACCCTCCCCCCCCAAAAAAAGGTAATAGATGTTAATTATCTTGGTTTAATTATTCTACATGTATTTATAAGTCATAACATCACATTATGCTCCATAAATATATACAATATAATCATGAATCATCAATTTACAATATAAAACAAAAAAGAGTCCTAGGAGTTGCCCTATATACTATTAGGGCAAGACTGAAGGTACTCAGGCATTACGGTCACAAGTCTCTTTCTTTCCTGGACATAGAAATCACCCAGGGGATTCTGATCCCAGGGCTTGGGTAGAAACCTGGAAGATGTATTTATAGCAAGCATCCCAGGTCATTCTTATGTCTTGGACTAAAATTTTGAGATGTCTCTCTCAAAGTATCTTGGCCTATTGCCTCTAGCCCGAGTCAAATCTTTGATAGCTCCTGCTTATGCTCTCAGCATGATAGTTACCCTTGTACTCAGCCAGAGATGCATCACCCAGGTTGAGAACAGGGGAATAAATGTGATTTTAATTGTTCCTATGTTAATCATACCTATTAGGACTTAAAAGAAAACCAAACTGTTTTGATTGAAATAAAATCAAATGACTAAGAGTAATAAAAACAGCTGCTAGTTTTAAGTGTGACTTTTTGTCCAACAATGTTTGAAGCAGGTCTTTATCTTTCAAAGAAGAAAGACTAAGACAAACTGACAGATTTTAAAATACAAAAGAATTTTTAGGGACTGGGGTTGTGGCTCAGTGGTAGAGTGCTCATGTAGCATGTGCAAGATGCTAGGTTCAATCCTCAGCACTACATTAAAGAAAAAAAGAAAGAAAGAAAGAAAGAAAGAAAGAAAGAAAGAAAGAAAGAAAGAAAGGTATTGTGTCCAACTGCAACTAAAAAAATATTTGAAATTTTTTCCAGTAA